CATAGATCCAAGAGTTCTGAAAGAAGTAAAATGTGAGTTTATGGATCTCCTGACAAAAATATGCAATCTATCATTATAATCCACCTCCATTCCTGAGGAGTGAAAGATAGCTAATGTAACCCCCATCTTTAAAAAAGGTTCTAGAGGAGATCCGGGAAAGTACAGGTCAGTCAGTCTAACATCGATACAGAGTAAGTTGGTGGAATCTGCTATTAAAGAGTAGGCACATTGATGAACAAAAGGTATTGAGGAAGAATCAGCATGGATTCTGTAATGGAAGATTTTGTCTCACTAACCTGTTAAGGGTGAACAAACATCTGGAGAAGGCTGACCTGACAGATGTTGTTCCAAAAAGCTTTTGATAAAGTTCCTCATCAAAGTCTCCTAAGTAAATTTAGTAGCCATGGGATAAGAGGACATATCCTCTTCTAGATTAAAAGCTGATTAATTAACAGGAAACAGAGAGTGAGTATAAATGGGCAGTTTTCACAGTGGAGGGTGGTAGGCAGTGCGGCACCACAGGGCTCAGTACTGGGTCCAGTGCTTTTTAACTTGTTCATCAATGATTTGGAGTTGGGAGTAAGCAGTGAAGTGGATAATTCTGCAGACGACATGAAGTTGTTCAGGGTGGTGAGAACCAGGGAGGATTGTGAGGGGCTCCAGAAGGATCTGTCGAGGATGGACAAATGGCAAATGAGGTTCAGTGTGGGCAAGTGCAAAGTGATGCCCGCTGGAGCCAAAAATCCAAACTATAAATACACATCGATGGGGTCCAAACTGGCGGAAACTGACCAGGAGAGAGATCTTGGACTCGTGGTTGATAACTCACTGAAAATGTTGACTCAGTGTGCGACAGGAACAAAAAAGGCAAATGCTATGCTGGGTATTATTAGGAAGGGAATTGAAAATAAATCAGCCAGTAACACAATGCCCCGGTATAAATCGATGATGTGGCCTCATTTGGAATACAGTGTACAGTTCGGGTCACGGCACCTCAAAAAAGAATTTATAGCATTGGAAAAAGTGCAGAAAAGGGCAACAAAAATGATTAAGGGAACATTTTCTCCGTGAAGAAAGGGTAAAGATATTAGGGCTCTTTAGCTTGGAGAAACGGTGAATGAGGGATGACATGATCAATGCTCCCTCTAAGCTGTGATGTCCAGTGAACAAAAATTCTACTTTGTGAGCTACCAGCATTAAAGTTGTGAGCAGGAGATTTGGCTACTGCATAAATTAGTTTGCTCTGTCTGGAGCCATCCTTCCTGAGCTAAGACAAATATGTGTGAGCCAGAGGCTAAAAAACTGTGAGCTAGCTCACACTAACTCAGTTTAGAGGGAACACTGAACATGATAGAGGTTGACAAAATTATGCATAAGCTAAAAAAAGGTTGAGAAAGAAGTACTTTTCTCTTTCTCACAATACAAGACCTAGTGGGCATGCCATGAAATTAATGAGCGATAGGCTTAGAACAGATAAAAGGAAGTACTTCTTCACTGAAAGAGTACTTAACACATAAAAGTGGTGGTGGTGGTTACAAGCGCAGATAGCTTCAAAAGGGGATTATTATTTATTTATTTATTATTAATTCAATTTATACCCCGCCCTCCCCGCAAGCGGGCTCAGGGCGGCTTACAACGGTGGCACCAATTGCCGATAAAACCATATAAAACATATGAAACAGTACTATACAAATAAATATAAAGATATGGTGCAGAGGTCCATGAGTGGCTATTAGCCTCAAGGTATACTATAAGGAAGGCCGAGCTCCGAAGAATAGATTCTTTTGAACTATGGTGCTGGAGAAGACTAAAGAGCCCTAAGCGCTTTAACCTTTCCTCATAGGGAAAGTGTTCCAACCCTTTTATCATTCGAATTGCCCTTTTCTGCACTTTTTCCAAAGCTATAATATCCTTTTTAAGGTGTGGTGCCCAGAACTGCACACAGTATACAAATAAATATAAAGATATGGTGCAGAGGCCCATGAGTGGCTATTAGCCTCAAGGTATACTATAAGGAAGGCCGAGCTCCGAAGAATAGATTCTTTTGAACTATGGTGCTGGAGAAGACTCTTGAGAGTCCCTTGGACTGCAAGAAGATCAAATCAGTCAATCCTAAAAGAAATCAACCCTGACTGTTCCCTGGAAGGCCAGATAATGAAACTGAAGCTCAAATACTTTGGCCACCAAATGAGAAGGGAGAACTCACTGAAGACCCTGATGCTGGGAAAGATTGAAGGTCAAAGAAGACTAACAGATGGATGGTATTATAAGGAGGATTGCCAGCTCTAGTTTGTGAAATTCCTGGAGATTTGGGGAGGGCGGGAGGAGCCTCTTCTTTTCCTGGCCCTGCCGCTCTGAAAGGGTTACGGCAGCCGAGCTATGGGCTAGAGAGGCCGAGCAAAGGGTGGCCGTGGAAGAGGTCTTTGGGGGGGGGGAGAACAGGGAGGGGCTTCCGGGGGGGGGTGCAACAGCAGAGAAAGATCTTTGCAGTCGGACCCTGGGAAGCTTTGCTCTCCAGTGAGTCATTTCAGTCTGGGAAGACGGGCACTCGCTCTGGTGAGGCTTGGGGCGGCGGGGGATGTCAATAGTTTTAAAAGGTGATTTTTCTGCTGGATGTTTTCCTTTGCTAGCCCCCGGTGCTGAAAGGGAGGATCTGAATTTTGGAAATCGACATAAGCAGGGGGTCATATCCTGCAGGAGCACATAGGAGCGGAGCTCGGCAGTAAAGAGCCCAGGGGGCGGGCACATGCAATAAGCCCCGCCCCCTGAGCAAGAAGCAGCCAGGTAAGTTGCAGAGCCCCGCCCCCCTTCAGGCACAAGCTCTCCCTCCTCTGTGACGGCAGATCTGTCTGTTCCCCCCCCCCCAATAGCTAGGGATCCAAAACAGTCCAGTGGAGCCTGAGTGGTGGGTGTTGCCTTCTGACACACGTCCGGTGATGTCAGGGGGTGTGGCATATGCTAATAAGTTATGCTAATGAATTATGCTGATGAGCTCCTGCACCTCTTTTTTTAAGAAATGACCCCTGGACATAAGTCCCCCCCAGGGAGGTCAGAGGGAGGCCTGGGAAGAAGTCCCAGGTGTGATCGCAGGTTAGGAACCCTTTGTGCAGAATGGCTGCCCAAGTACCTCGCCTTTTTTGGCCGGTGCTCCCCCCCCATCTGCAGTTTCCCCAGGAGGGGGTTATTGACTGATTTTATTTATTTGCATTAGTTATAGTCCTTCCTTTAGTGGGACTCCGTAAATCCATACGTTCAGTAAACTAGGCAATAGAATTTGGGTTGGAGAACCGGACCAGAAATCTGGAAAAGGGTACTGAAGGAAAGCATAGATGTTAACGTGACCCACGAACTGCTGCAGAGGGGCATAGCGGGATCCGACTTCCAGCGAATTAAGCCCAGTAATTTAGACCCCCGTGCCCGAATGACGTATCCAAGAAACCCTGTGAAGCCTTCTGTCTAGTACTACCCTGTTGCTTGCTCCTGCCAACTTAGCCGTTTGAAAACAAGAAATTGCAAGTAGATAAATAGGTACCACTTCGATGGAAAGGTCACAGCATTCCGTGCGCCTTGGTGTTCAGTCATGCTGGCCACATGACCATGGAAACGTCTTCGGACAGCGCTGGCTCTTCGGCTTTGAAACGGAGATGAGCACTGCAACCCTAGAGTCGGACTCGACTGGCTTTCGAGCAAGGGAACCTTTACCTTACCCTGTTGCTTGCTTAGAAAAGCCCTCTTGGATGGTTCGGTTTTGCTTAGTTTCAGAACAACCAGGCGAGTGGGTGCCTTCCTGACCTCTTCGCGAAGACCATTTGTGGGGGGCCAGAAGGGAGAAGGCCCCTGTCCAGGCCAGCCAGCGGAGGGACTGCAGAGGGGAGTAATAGGCCTGCTCCATCTGGCTCCTGATAATGGCCGATCCTGGGTGTTCTGCACCAGCTGGAGTGTCTGGATTGGTTTTATGTAATGAACCGGGCATTGATCTAGTCTAGTCTCCATGTCACTGTGGCATGGATCCTGGTGGCCGGATCAACTATATCAAGGGAAGGGGCCATTTTTCGAGCTAGGCTGAGTTGGGAGAAAGCCCTTTTTTGCAACGGCATTAACTTGCTTCTCCAGCAATAAGGCTGTGTGCAGCATAAAGCCGAGGCTCTTAACTGAGTCGGGGAGGGTTGGCTGAACCCCATTAGCGAGGAACAGAACGTCCTTCATGACTTCTGCTTTCCCAATCAGTGTGACTTCTGTCTTTCCAGGGTTCAGTTCCAACTTGTTCACTCTCAGCCATTTGACCACAGCTGCCAGGGAGCGGTTGAGGACCTCTGCCCCATCCCTGCCTGCTTCTCCTGCTCCTGTTTGCCCCCCAGCAGCCCCTGTGTGCCCTGCCCTGGAGAGGCCCCCCTGCCCCTTCCCCTCTGCCGGCTGCTCGGGCAGAGCTCCTGACCAGCCCTCCTGGCCTCTGGAGGAGGTCTCTACAGTGCTTGAGCCCTTCCCAGCTGCTTGGTCCTGGGCTCCGGTTTACCTGCAGATGCACCCACTAGACAGACTGGTCCCTAGAAAACGGAGGCCAAGCTCATAATATCCACAGCAGATTTTTAAAGACCCCAACGGAGATTTCTTTCCTTCCTGAAGGACCAAACAAGCATATCTTTAACAGCTTGATACTTAATATAACCCGATGACGTGAATCCTGGTCTGCAAACTACAACACAGACACTGCTTCTGATCCACGTAGGTGTCTCTTGACCAGGGTCAGTGATCGAACTCCTTTCTCTATTGGTTTCCTTCTGCCTTTTGGATGTCTTTCCCTCTCCCTCTAGGCAAGTGAATGAGAGTGTCTTTCCACTGTCAAGAGGCAGCCCAAGAGAAAGGGGAAGGAGACAGAAGGGGAGGGCCCAGAAGGCCCTGGAACTGGCAAGAGATCGAGGAAAGGTCCCCATCCCACCCAAGCAGGGTGTGGTGCTGGAATCTGGGCAAGAGCTGTGGCAGAGATCTTCCCTCAGGACACGATGACTGCAGAAGTACGCAGCCGATGCTTCCGGCAGTTCCGTTACCACGAGGCCGATGGGCCCCGAGAGGTCTGCAGCCGGCTCCATGGACTTTGCAACCGCTGGCTGGAGCCGGAGAGGCACACCAAGAAGCAGATGCTGGACCTGGTGATCCTGGAGCAGTTCCTGACCATCCTGCCCCAGGAAATGGAGGGCTGGGTCAGAGGATGTGGGCCGGAGACCAGTTCCCAGGCGGTGGCCCTGGCCGAAGGCTTCCTCCTGAGTCAGGCAGAGGAGAAGCGGCAGGCAGAGCAGGTGAGGGGTTTTCATGCACTCAGTGCAAGCAGTGACCTTATCCAAAGGCTTCCCTGTCAGATATTTCTGTGTGTGTGTTCACTGGCATCAAGCCGCTTCTGACTTATAGCCGCCCTATGAATGTCCTCTCGTTAAAAGCCTTGCTCAGGTCTTGCAGACTGAGAGGCCCTCGTGGCTTCCTTGATTGAGTCAATCCAGCCCATGTTTGATCTTAGTCTTTTCCTGCCGCCTTCGACTTTTCCTGGCATGATTGTCTTTTCCAGCGACTCTTGTCTTCTCATAATGTCCCCAAAATACGATAGCCTCATTTTGGTGATTTTAGCTTCCAGGGGGAGTTGAGGTTTGATTTGATCTAGAACCCATTGATTTGTCTTTCTGGTGGTCCCACGGTATCTGTGGAGACTCTAAACTATGGAGGAGGACTCCGCATGGGTGCTGTAAAGGAAGATCTCATCTCACAAACCTGTTAGTGCTCTTTGGGGGGGTGAACAAACATGCGGACAGGGGGGGACACAATAGATGTTGTCTACCTTGACTTCCAGAAAGGCTTTTGATAAATTTCCTCATCAAAGGCTCCTAAGTAAGCTCAATAAAAGGACAAGTCCTCTTGTGGATCAAAAACTGGCTAATGAATAGGAAGCAGAGAGTGGGTATAAATGGGCAATTTTCACAGTGGAGTGTGGTTAGCAGCAGGGTACCGCAGGGCTCAGTACTGGGTCCGATGCTTTTTAACTTGTTCGTTAATGATTTGGGGTTGGGAGTAAGCAGTGAAGTGGCTAAATTTGGAGATGACACGAAATTGTTCAGGGTGGTGAGAACCAGGGAGGATTGTGAGGCACTCCAAAGGGATCTGTCGAGGATGGGCGAGTGGGCGTCAACGTGGCAAATGGGGTTCAGTGTGGCCAAGTGTAAAGTGATGTACATTGGGGCCAAAAATCCTAACTATAAATGCACATTTATTTATTTATTTAGCAGAAACAGGCTCAGGGCGTTGATGGGGTCTGAACCGGCAGAGACTGACCAAGAGAGAGATCTTGGAGTCGTAGTAGATAACTCAATAAAAAATGTCAAGACAGTGTGTGACTGCAATAAAAAACCCCAATGCTATGCTGGGGATTATTGGGAAGGGAACTGAAAACAAATCGGCCAGTATCATAATGCCCCTGTATAAATCAATGGTGCGACCTTGTTTAGGATACTGTGTGCAGTTCTGGTCACTACACCTCAGAAAGGATATTATAGCATTGCGGAAAGTGCAGGAAAGGGCAACTAGAACGATCAAAGGGTTGGAACACTTTCCGTACGAAGAAAGGTTAAAGTGCTTGGGGCTCTTTAGCTTGGAGAAACGATGGCTGAGGGGGTGACATGATTGAGGTTTACAAGATTATGCATGGGATAGACAAAGAGTGATTCACATGTGGAATTCACTGCCACAGGAGGTGGTGGCATCTACAAGCATGGAGAGCTTCAAGAGGGAACTGGATAAACATATGGAGCAGAAGTCCATCGGTGGTTATTAGCTGCAAGGTATAGATAGGAACTCTCAGTCTGGGGCAAGTGATGCTCTGTATTCTTGGTGCTTGGGGGTGGGGGCAACAGTGGGAGGGCTCTTAGTGTCCTGGCCCCACTGCTGGACCTCCTGATGGCACCTGGTATTTCTGGCCTGATCCAACACTGGCTTCTCTTAAGTTCTTATGTTCTTAAACTCTCCTCCAACACCACATTTCAAAAGAATCAACTTCCTTCCTGTCAGCTTTCTTCATTGTCCAACATTCACACACATACATAATAATGGGGAGTATTATGGCATAAATTAACTTGATCTTTGTCACTCGTGACACATCCTTACACTTAAGAATCTTTTTTGCTCCTTCATAGCTGCTCTAAGCAGTCTCAGTCTTATTCTGATTTCTTGCTTGAAGTCTTCCTTTTGGTTGATGAGCCAAGGAACAGAATATATATATATATATACAGGGATCTTTTGGGGCCGGAGCACTGCTCCGGCAGCCCAGGAGCTGGTGGCAAGCCCCACCCCCAGCTCCCCACGCCAAAGTTCCGGGGCCAGGAGGGAAGCCCGGAGACCCCCCCCAGCCGAGTCCCCTGGCCTGCACCAAAGCGCTCGGGCTGGGGGAAGCTCGGAGACCCCCCAGCCAAGTTTCCCGGCCCTGTGCAGAAACGCTGGGGCTGACGGAAGCCCGGAGACCTCCCCAGCTGAGTTCTCCGGGCCTGCGCCAAAGTGGTAAGTAAGGGGGTGGTGGGGGCTTGATGGGGCTTGATGGGGGGGTGGGAGAGCCTTCCTCCCTCCCTCCATCTCTTTTCCATCTTTCCCTCCTTTCCTTTCCCCTCCTCCTTTTCTTTCTCTCTTTTCCTTCTCTTCCTTCCTTCCTCTCTTTTCCTCCTTTCTTTCATTCCCTCCTTTCCTTCTCTCCTTTTCCTTTCCCTCCTTCTTCCCTTCTCTCTTTCTTTCCCGCTTTCTTCTCTTCTCTTTTTTCCTCTTTTCCCTCTTTCCATCCTTCTTCCCTTCTCTCTTTTTTCCCCTCCTTCTTTCCATCTCTTTCTTTCCCTCTTTCCTTCTCTCTTTTTATCCTTTCCTTCATTCTTTTCTTTCTTCTTTCCTTCTCTTTCTTTCCCTCTTTCCTTCCTTCTTTCCTTCTCTCTACTCTCTCTCTTTCCTTCCCTCTTTCCTCCTTCTGTGACCCAACTCTAGTAAACTTTAAACCCCTTCTCTCTTCGCTCCCCCCCAGGCCAGCTGGGGAAGGGGAGGGGAGGCTTTTGAAGATGCCTCTCCCCCCCTTTTGCTTTTCCTTCTGACATCACTTCTGGTGATTTCAGGTGCATGGCATATGCTAATAGCCTAGTAGCTCATTAGCATACCATTTTTTTATTTAACTTTCAGTTTATATACCGCTCTAATAAGGCTTATTCATCTCAGGTCTTCTGCTGGCCTAGGGTTGCCAAATCTGTCTTCGCTGGGAGCGAGGGGCTCCCGGCCGGCGTCGGGGCTGTGCACGCGCGCCGCATGCACGTCACCCAGTAGTGACGTAGGCACGCTGGGCATGCTGGAGGCGGGGCCACAGCCATACAAGGGAAAACCATAGAGTTTCCCCTTGTATGGCCGTGGCCCCACCCCCAGCGTGCCCGGCGTGCCCACGTCACTT